TGGTATAGCCCCGGTTTAGTCCAGGACTAACCCTGGCTTAGTCTTGGTTTAGTTCTACTTTTGTCATTGTTTAGTTCTAGTTTAGTCTTGGTCTAGTCCTGCTTTAGTACTTCTTTATTTCTGGTCTAGTCCTGGTCTAGTCCTGGTTTAATCCTGGTGTAGCCCTGGTTCAGTCTTAGTTTAGTCTTGCCTTAGTCCTTGTTTGGATCTGGTTTAGTCTTGGTTTAGTTCTACTTTTGTCATTGTTTAGTTCTAGTTTAGTCTTGGTCTAGTCCTGCTTTAGTACTTCTTTATTTCTGGTCTAGTCCTGGACTAGTCCTGGTGTAGCCCTGGTTCAGTCTTAGTTTAGTCTTGCCTTAGTCCTTGTTTGGATCTGGTTTACTCTTGGTTTAATCCTACTTTTGTCATTGTTTAGTTCTGGTTTAGTGTTGTTCTAGTTCTGCTTTAGTCCTTGTTTACTCCTGCTTTAGTCCTGGTTTAGCCCCGGTTCAGTCTTAGTTTAGTCCTGTTTTAGTCCCACCAGTACGTTGTTATTGATGTAGCCACCTGGTTCCATTTCTCTTGTACTTTTTGGTGGATTACTTTGTTGTGCGCCTGAAGGCCAGGGTGAAGCAGAGGATTATGTAACACATTAAGCTCCCTCAGCACTGGACTGTGGGCTAACTTGATTAAAACAAGGATATGAATCAAGCCACTGAAAGCAACGGAGGAGCGCTCTAATGGTTTCCTCACACACATGCACCCGTCAATAATGTGATAATAGTGTTTTTGTGTTCATTTAAAGATCCTATATTATGCTAAATTTACTCTTGTGACCTTTAAGACAAAAACATCCCTGAGTTGTGTTTTGTTTCATTCACACATTTGCGTAATCCTTTATTATTAGTCTGTCTACATCTGCAAAGCTCAAAATGCTCAGTTTTACCTTGTGATATCATGAAGAGGTAGTTTTCAAGTTAACAGATGTCGTTTACCTTTTGTTCAGTACAGCTTGGCAATTCCAGGTCTGAAATTATCTTGTGAAAGTGCGTGAAGTTTAAAACACAGTGGAGCACTTCCTGTATTACCGTATGACATCACAGGGCGGAGTGTTTTCTGCTTGAGAGAAGAACTCAAACTAAATATCCAGGGTTTGTGTGTTTAACATGTATGAACAAATCAAAACCCACCTCCAGGTGTGTTTTTGATAAAGAAGCAGCATTATAACATAGATCAGAAAACTGCATAAATGGGCTATTTAATATGCCACTAGAGGAAAAAAAAAATTTACAAGAGAAAATTAGTTAGTCAATATTACAACTCACAAAGACTACGGTGTTGTTTTATTGTTTGACTCACTATCTTTCTGTCTTTCACATTGTCTGGCAGATGTTTGAATGTTTAATTATGTTTCATTCCTGCTTTTATTAGTGACAAAAAAAATCCGGCACTTGTATAATTTTAGCTCTGTTGTAGAATAAATTGTAGTAGCCCGAGATTTGAAGAGAAGAGGCATTTAGAGGGACCTTGTTCAAAGTTTATTTACCATCAGTACGGCACCCAGTACTCAGGGACTTCAACCCTCAACACGTTGTGATAGTGTTCTCCAATCTAGTCTATTGCAGTCCAGTTTGTCTATGCTTCCACTGTAGGGAGTATTATATCTCTGATGACGCAGGCTAAGATAACAAGGGTTGAGATGGCAGTGAGAGACTGAAGTGCAGCACAGAAATGGCACTTATCTAATCTAACAAGCACTATAAAAGTCAGACTTGCATATTCACACTGCAAAAGATAAGATTCAAAGATCAGATCCAAGCCAATTTGGGCCAAAAAAAAGAAATACATTCAGATTTGACACAGGTTTAGTCCAGTTTAGATACACCTACAATACAATATCTCATACTTTGTCAAATTAAAAGCAAGATTTAAGCAAGAGATACAAGGCTGAACAAATAGGACAATATTAAATGCAATGCAAACTGTTCTGTACTGAGTAACAGTAATTTTACAATGTATTAAGCTACATTATATTTGTGATAATACAATGATAAACCATAAAATGCATTTGAATGTGAAAATCCATATAAAATGGCCTGCGCTGAAGTGTCAGGTTTTTATCAGTGCAACAGCTCTCAAAAGAAAATCAGACAGTAATCAAGACTCTATTCAAGATGTAGTTAAGAATCAAGGAGGGTCAATGGAAAAATCTGCCTCCAAGGACAAGACAACTTTTCACAGCAATTTTGGGTGGTGATAATAGGAGTATTCAAAAATATTTACTTGAATGTATAAATATATTTGCATTTGATTCATTTAACTGTGCACATACACTGCAAAAGGAATATCTAGTTAAAAATAACGTAAATTAACAATATATTACTCTATGTGAATAGATTCAACTTGACAAGTAAAATGATCTACCAATGCAATAAGTGTGTTTTTTCTTAATTCAAACAACATTAGACTTCGTTTTTTCAAAGAGTTGTGTTTTTCTTAAGTGTAGCAAGATGTATTTTCATATTTTAACTACAAAAGGTCTTGTGCCATTGGCAGATAATGTTAGCCTGATTCATCAGCCGGTGTCACTTTGTGGAAACCATCTGACCTCGCAACATTAGGATTTGTTCGCTCAACAGTAGGCGGGTACTTTTTTTATTTAACCATTCGCTGCTATTTGGTCATGACGTATGTAATGCACCAAATCCGGCAGGAAGAAGGGCAATAACGTCTTTCCCCTTGATAAAATTCACCAAACATTCTCTTGTTCCGGCTTTAAATCCTCGATCTCGGGAATTGTTGCCAACACAGAATGTATGGCTTTGTCTACATCCATCTCGACCGCTTTGTTTACTGTTGTGCTGTACCACAAAAGAGACCCAGACAGGCACTTGAGTCTGAGGTTATGGCTTCACAGCTCTTCGCTGATTGGCAGGTGCGCGCAAAACTGAGTGGAGGCACTAGGTGGCGCCTGCCTGGCTAAGATAATGTTACTTGTTAAGTGAAATTGACTCATATCATGATAAAATTCAAGTCATTTTAACTTGGTTAGATTTTACTTTTTACAGTGTATATTGTATGTTAGCATGAGAATTGTCCATAGAGATGGTATTGTTTTTAAATGAAATTTTCTACAATATCACATTCAATTTTATCTGCTTGTCCTCATGGAGATGTTATTGCTTTATCTGGAAGGTTCCACTGTATAGCCTTAAATATCACCTGCTTGTCTCCATGTTATTCTGGAATATTCCACAGGCTGGCATTACACTTACATATCTCCATGGAGACAAGCAGGTAACACCACCATGCTGAGTTACAGATCTATAGAAAGTCATGGTTTCGTTGTTTCAGTTCCTTGTTTAGTCTGTTTAACTCTGGTTAGTTTTGTCATGATACTAAAATTTCAAACTCGATTACCATACTAAGGAACTGTCTCAACACCCGATACCGATTATGATATCTCAATGAAGATAAAACATGTTCCCTTTTGTTCCCTGTACCATTTGTTCTTTTGAAATTCAATTAAGAACAAGAAACAATAAAATGGGAATACAGTTTGTTAATTCATTATTGTGTTTTAGTAATTTCAACCTATTTAATTTAAAGTTTATTTCAAATAACACCAATCATAAAAGGCACAGACTATTTTCCCATTTTATTGTTTTTCATTCTTAATTGAAATTCAAACGAATAAATGGTACGCAGACCCTTTTTCTGTAATAGAATGTAATTGTCATACACAAAATAATTGCACTTTCTTTATGTTACCATGAGGTCTTATACTACTTCTGATAAAGCTCAAAATTACACTAAAACTGTTAAGGAAAGCTCTAATTTTGTCCTGTAAATGTGACTTTTATAGTATCGATACTTTTGACAACTCTAATCCTGGTGTAGTCCTGATTGAAAAAGGTCACAAATGTTCTGGGAATCAAATCAAAACCTTGCTGCTCGGTGGAACTGAAACCGAAAATAAATTCTTGCCCTTCCGTGGGATTATCAGACACCACTGATTAAACAAAAGAGTTATTGCCAGACAGTAGGCGCAGCAAATACCCACACTATCCAAACAGCCCCATCTAGATAAACAAGCCTGCTGTTTCTGCCAGGCCTTACAAATACATGTTGCCAAATTATAAACATTGACGAAAAGGGGAGACAAGGCGACGTGGTGCAGCAGTTTAAACGTCTGTCTAGAAACTAGAGAGTTGCCCGTTAGAATCCCAACTGATTCGGTTCAAAGTTTACATTTTAAACGTGTCCAGGAGGACTGAGAAACACATATGAACTTTTAAACTAATGCAGGATTCACATTTCAGAATGCATCTAAACAGAGTTAGCAGTTTTGATGCAGAATTAAACTGAATATTTTGTTGTTTGTGGAGGAAGTTATGGTACTTCAAAAATGGAAGCCTTTGCAATTTGCTGCTTGTGTCCATTCAAACTGCGATTTCGATTTAGTTGTGATTTATCTTGCAGTTTGGGTCAGATATATACAGATAGATATGCCCATTTTTTTTTATCAAAGGATCGATGTTTTTAGACTGCCAAGAATTTCTGTAGTCGACAACAGCCATAGAATTCTCATCTTGCTCTCTAGTTCAATTGTGAAATTTGTAGAATGTTACGAAATTTCATGTGAGTTCAACCTTTGGGGTGACTATTTTATCTTGTCATCATTGCTTATAGAGTTTGGACTAAAAAAGAACAAAACTTTTTCCATCAAACATATTAACAAATTCCATTGTTCTTCCTCTCTCTCGTATTGTTTTTGCAGAAAGTCGGACCTAGATGCAGAGCCCGAGGAGAGCCCAGGCAGTAGCAGCAGCAGCAGTAGCAGCAGCAGCACAGGGGCGGTTAATGCCCTGCCCACCGCCCCCGCTCCCCCTCAGCCCTCCGCGGGACAGCCGGGTCCCAGCTCCTGCTCCGAATCGGACAGTCCTGTAGACTCCAGCGAGGAGGAGGAGGACTCTGAGGAGGAGGAAGAGGACTCTGGAGAGGACTCTGAAGATCCCGCCATGTTTTCTTCCAAGTTTCTAAGTGGTTCTAATCCGCTCAGTGCCGTTTCCTCTGCTGTCAACAAATTTGGATTGTTTGGGGACGATGGAGATGGAGATAAAAACCAGAAAGGCCAACAAGGGACGCAACAGCCTGCAGCTAGCCAGGGAAAATCAAAATGGACAGTCCAATGGGGGACCACAGGCTGCTAAAGGTCCCCAAGGCGCTGCTAAACCTGGAAGTCAACCAATGCAACAAAATAAAACAGGAACTCTAGACCAAGGTTCGAAAACTGGCCAAAAGGACTCTGCTCCTAAGTCTGCAGAGCAAGGACTGAGCAAAACACAGCAAAAAGAACCCACAAAGACTGAAGTAGGGTCCAAACCTGGAGCACAGCAAGGACAAACCAAAGTACCCAGTGTAGGAGGGGCACCCAAACCTGGTCCGCAAGGGGCACCCAATGTAGTGGGTCAAACACAAGGGTCATCTAAACCTGGTTCGCAGCAAGGGTCACCTAATGTAGGGAGACAACAGCAAGGTCAAAAAGGACCACCCAATGTAGGAGTCGCACCCCAACCTGCTCAGCAAGGGGCAGCCAAAGTAGTGGGTCAAATGCAGGGGTCACCCAACACCGGAAGGCAACAGCAGCAAGGGGTGCCTAAACCGGGTCAGCAAAGGACACCCAGTGTCGGAGGGGCACCCAAACCTGCTTCACAGCAAGGGTCACCTAATGTAGGGAGGCAACAGGCAGCGTCACCCAAACCAGGTCAACAGGGCCCACCAAAGTCTGCATCTCCTGGAGCACCCAGGGCTGGGTCTGCATCTCCCGCTGTGGCTAAACCTGGAGCTAAGTCTCGGATCTGCACAGTCTGTAACACAACAGAGCTGAACATGGACACCAAAGAGCCTCCCAACTACAAAACCTGTACGCAGTGTAAGACAGAGGTGTGCAGCCTGTGCGGATTCAGCCCGCCAGATTCCAATGTGAGTATTTATCTATAAAAAGTATTTTATAGATAATATTTAAAATGATAACCACTTAAATCCCAAATATTTCAGATTTTCAATAAGGAACATACTCATATATACTTCAACAATCCGAAAATGTTCATGTAAAATTTAAAACCGCATTGTAGATTGCATTATACATTATATGGAGATGTGAGGATAGAGGTCAGAGATTGAAAATGAGAAAAAAGACAGAAACATATAGAGTAATCTCAAAACAAAGGTTTAAATTGATTTTTCTACCTATTTGTGGTTTACTTTGATTCACTTTTGAGATGTGAGATACTTGAACTTGAATCATGTCATTTACAGGCACGTTTAACACATTCCTGATGCATTGTTAAAATATTGTGTTATATAAAATATATTGTAGATAGAAGATGTGAGGAGAAATAATATTATTCATATATGATCTGACTCAATTATCTGAGTCCTGTTAAAGTTACAGCCAGATCTTTACAGCTCTAAAATAACTTATTTTGGTTCTAAAATTCAAGTTTTCTTTGACTATTCTTGATGTTATTAGGTATGAGACCATTTTACACCATTTTATATCCCCCTCTAGACTCACATGTGGTGAAGATGAGGTGAGGAGGCTGATGGTGTGGCTGCTGAGGGGGAAATGATTGGAGGGTTGCAAAATGTATCTGAAATGTCTCAATAAAGGAAAGAAAAAAGTGCAAATAAATGACTTGAGAGGTGGTTGAAAGGCAGAGGAAGCAGGTAGAAGCCTTTTGATATCAGTTACAAAGAAAGGGCAGGTGTAGTGTTTTCCGTTATCATATACACAAAATCAAACATTAGCTGTACTTTGTTGTATTATTAAAGAAGGCTGCGTAGACATAAACCCTTTTTGTATGAAATTAGCTCCACTAAAATCCCTTTGCTCTTTTGAATGGCACTCCAGCTGACACTGTCTCATACTGCCTGTGGCCCTGCAGTGACAGGCGTGTGTAGGAGATGTAATAATTGAACTACTGGCAGCTTTAAGGTCACAGTGACTTGAGATGTTCCAATGTGTATGAATATTTTTGATTTTTAGTAAAGAGGAAATAAGAGAAGAGAGAATTATAAAGTCACAAATAGATGAATGAGGTTAATTCAGTGGTGATGGAGTGGGTTTTATGCATACATCATTCAGTGGTTTAAAGTGCTTTACGAAATACAAGTTCCTCTCATGCTGTTCACTGGACTTGCTTGAGTGAAAGTGAAAATTAGAACGGTGTTTGAATTGATACTTTGCAGTGGGGGTGCTGCTGAGCCAATGCACGCATTAGCAAACCGACAAATGTTTAACACTGTTGAAAACTCAAGAAAAAATACAGAATGGACTTAAACACATTTACCGTGATCAATACAAGCATTCATTATTCCTGTGGCTGTAATTTTATGTGTGAGATACTAGCACATATTACCTCACCTGTTGTATTTCCAACTAAGTCAGTTCTTTCTGTTCAGATTGTGTTATGACATCAACTGTAAAGTGTTAATATTAGGGCTGAAGAAATTGGGGAAAAAATACCTAATTGCAATTTTTTCTGACAAGCTTGGGGATTCGATTTGCAATTTATATTTTAATAATAGTCTACTATGTTCAAAGTTCACATTTTAAACACATCCAGAAGAAAAAAGATTGCAATAAGAACTGACAATCATATTTGAGAACCTGTTTGTACAGATCTAAAGTACAGGGTTGGAAAAATAGAACAGGATATATTGTTGTGGACTGAGGAAATAATGATACTTCAAAAACTGTGTTCATTCAAATTGCAGGTTTGATTCAACAGTGATCAATCTTGCATCCCTATTCTATACAATAAACATGGATTTATTGTTAAAAAAAACAAAAAACAATTGTATCAAAATTGGTATTTAATATCTGGCCTATTCCATCCTATCATAATTGAGTTGCTGAAATAGTTCTATCATGTCAACATTAAATTAATGCACCACCTACATTATTTAGAACAGTGTCACAACATCAGAGAGTGCAGACTGAATCTAGTGAGGAAAATTACAGGTTTTTATTAGTGTTACATTGTCTTTACAGTGTCTCTTCAAATGAAGATTAAACATATAAATTGTGACCTGACTTCACCATTAACCTTTTGTAACAAGTAAACTTAATTACAACATTTAAGGCCAATCACTGTTATGCCGACGACACACAGATCTACCTCCCGCTGAGACAAAACGACCCTGGGAGCCTGACTGCTGTGTTAAACTGCTTCAATGATGTGAACGGTTAGATGGCACAGAACTCCCTACAACTCAATGGCTTCAAATCTGAAATCATTTTGATCAATCCCCCGCAATCCACCTCCCATATCAGCAATAGTCTCAACCCTCTCGCTTCCAACATCACCCCTACTGCCAGAAACTTTGGCGTCATTTTTGACTCTCACCTCAACTTCCACCTTCATATCAAAAAAGTCACACAATCCTGTTTTCTCCACCTTCGCACAATTAGCAAAATCAAAACTATCCTCTCCTACCCTAATCTTGAAAAAGTCATCCACGCGCTCATCTCCCGTCTACCGTCTAGACTTTTGCAATTCCCTCCTCTCCGGCACTGACTCCAAATCCATCTTCCGCCTCCAACTTGTTCAGCAGCAGCTCAGCTCCTCACTGGTTTTAACAGACATCAACACATGACCCTGTTTTACTTCCCTTCAGTGGCTGCCCATGTGTTTTCGGCTCAGTTTTAAGATTTTACTGATCATTTTTAAAGCTTGTTTAAATCTTGCACCAAGCTACATTTCAGAACTTTTAACTCTGTAGAAGCTTTCCCTCAGGCAGGTCCCTTTTAGCTTTTCCAAAGTCCAGACTCCAGACAAAATCACTTCTTAAGACTCATTTTTATCTGTTGGCCTTTCTTTAACTTGTTTTAGCTTGATTTTATTCTTTATTAACTGAAGTAACATGCACTTAAACCAACTAGTATTCATACTTCTGTCCTTTTCTTCTAGGGCAAGGAGTGGCTGTGTCTTACCTGCCAGATACAAAGAGCCCAAGGTCCTTCACCATCGGGACCACAGATGAAGAAACCAGGTCCTTCTCCTAACCAGAAATCTCCTACGCCTGCGAAGAAAGACATCGCTCAATCAAGCTCCCCTTTAAAATCTCAACCTGACCCATCAAAAGCTCCAAAACCCACCACGGAGACGCAAAAACTACCCCAGAAATCTGAAGCGAATCCGGGCAAACAAAGCAGCGACGCCCCCCCAGCTCCTCAGCAGTCTGGGGGGTTATTCGGATTTGGCGGTTCCAAAACAGACACGGCAAAGTCCAAGGATTCAGTCTCTGGGAAGATGTTCGGCTTCGGTTCTTCCATCTTGAGTTCCGCTTCGACTTTGATATCTTCGGATGAAACCAAAGTAACACCACCGGTTTCTCCAAAAGTTCAAGTGGCAAACCAGGCCAAAAAAGTAGATCAGGAAAAGGCTACAGGAAAAGGGCAAGCGAAAGTTGAAATTATGGATACGTCAAAGGCTAAAGCAATTTCGCTAAAGGATGTACCGCTAGCTTGTCCGCTATGTCACACTGGCCTGAACAGCTCGTCCGGGAAACCTAATTACGACGCATGTACGGACTGCAAGGGCATCGTGTGCATCCAGTGTGGATTTGACCCCATGCCAAACGTCAAAGAGGTGAGCCATGTTCTTGTTTGGGAGAATGTCTGAATGTAGTGTACGCTAGCTTCACTGTCAAATGCTGATACGTCTTCATCTTGGCTAGACACAATGTAATATCTATTTATATCAGGTGTAGGATTAAAAAAGTGTTTATACAAAGTAGTTTAGTAGTTTGCTGCAGTAAAGTAGAGGGGGAAATGTGAGTCTGTGTGGTTGGATTTAACATTAAGATGACAGGAGTGGGTTCATATAAGTTTTATCTTCTTCCCACTTCTTTTCGAGAAATGTACTTTTCTGTTGTTTACAATGAAGTATGAGTATTGTTTCTCTCTTGGCACAAACTCAAAAAAAAAAAAAAAAAAAGCTAAATGCTAATGTTATTAACAAGACATGTATCACAGATATTTTTGTTTAGTTTTATGCAAACATATTTCATATTGTTAAAATATTGTATTAATTAATCCATCATATTTTCTAAATATTTTGTGAATTTCTCAGATCTGTTGTCTAATCATGATGACTAAAAAGTTAATACTTTTTTTTTTTTTTTTTTTTTACTGGATCCGTTCTAGGGCTGGGAGATAGGGCAAAAACTTTAATTTAACTTTAGCCTGCACTCTTCCTGACTTACTATAAGCACAACCAAACCAAAGTTACCAGTGCTGAAACCATATAGAGGGTTTTCTTCATATATGGACAGGCCATACCTCATGTGAAAGCTCAGAATTCACTCCCTGAACTGCAGAGGCTGCACTAGCACTGATTCATGTTTGGCTACAGATGCTGTGGCTTAGGTAGTGACCATTCAGATAAATGAGAGGCATTTTAGGTTTAAACTAACTGGATTTTAGCATTGAACCTCGCAACCCACTTGAAAGTCTCAAGTGAGCCTCATTCTGCCTTTTATAATCATCTTAGGAACTAAAACACTAAATAAATGGCATATCACTGTATTTATATGAATAATAAATCTGCATTAGAAATGTTGTCCATAAAAGCTATATTTGATTTGAACATATTTACTGAAAAAATTACTGAATCTGCATCTCAATTCAAATTTGATTATTTACTCAGCCCAAGTTCAGTCAGATGTAAAGCACTGATCAAGCCCTGCAAATGTTGGTCCATTTATTTACGATCATAAAATATCAATAAGAAGCACTGTGCAGCTGTTTAAGCTCCTTTTAGTGTCCTAGGGAAAGAAACAGAACCATTGTAAACCAAAAACATCTTTCCCTGAACAAATGCTTCTGTGAAGTAGCCATTATTTTGGGGCCACAGTCCATCATGAGGCTGTACACTGGCAGGAGCTGGCTCAGCAGCTGTAGACGGCTGTGTGCAGGAAGATTACTGTTACACAACAGAAGCAGAACACAACAGTTTTACTATTTCAATAAACTTACTGCTTGATGTTATTGTCGATGAGTAGGATCATGATCTATAGTTCCCTATTCCCGAGTACGCTGTTAGAGTTGCAGAAGCTTTGATGTATTGTAAAAGAGATTAAAAAGGAAGTATTGCACTTTTATGTTAACTACTAACACATAACACATTTAGATCAGCATGCTACCTTTATTTGTTTTGAAAATCCTATACTCCAGATAAAAGCTGCTAACGTGTTTTATAATTTTCAAGCTCTGCGTTAGGGAGGTGCAGGAGAATGCAAGGCTTGTGGTCTTTGGATTGGATTGTACTGGTACATTTTTACATTCCACTATCCTCTCCCACAAAGCACAGAAGATACAAACAGGTGTTAAATGTACCCAGCCACTGGTAACTATCTGCACTGTTGTCAGGGGGAACAAGCAGGAGTGATAACAGAGGCTTTGTGCATGGGTTCATTTGGGTCAGAAATAGTCTAAATGACAAATAGAAACTTATAAATTAAACTACTTATACTGTTTTGGAAAAGGTTGATGTTTTGGTTTGTAGGATGTGTGTCCTTTCTCAGAGGGGAAAATTCCAGGTATTTTAAGCTTAAAAACACACAGATGTTTAGCAAGATAGATACAGCAGTAATTCATGAAAAATTTATACAAATCTGAATTGGTGTCAGTACTCAGAATGACAGAAATAGGACAGAGTTGGATGTTTCTTGAATAGTCACAGAATGGTTTTGATCTTTGTCATAACTAATATAAGAGCGCATGATAAAATTAAATAAATGGCCATTATTCTGTGTTGCTATTGCATTCTATCATTTTAATTGTCAGTTTGGTATCGAAATATGTATCCATTATCAATCATAGAAAAAATATTTATTGCGTAGAAATGAGATCAACTGGTGGCCATTAAATTCTTCCGATAGATAAGGCGGATTTTAATAATTTCTCCAAAGTGATTTGCAAATGCATCAGTGTTATCTACAACACTGTTTCACTGTAATCTCATAAGAGAAGTGTGTAGTGAGGTTTTGTGCAGTGCCTTGTTCACACTAAAGGGTTCACATAAGGCTGAACATTCCATTATTCAAGTGGTCAGCCAAACCAACATATTGGCCTGTGCTGTAGATTTAAGGTGATGGCTGTTACGCTAAAACGTGCAAATATCTGTCTAATAAATCAGCCTCCTGACTAATTGGTCCACCTCATAATCAAGCCTTTTCTCTAGTATCAGATTCATCTATTGGATTTTGACATGCAGGCTTGCCAGAACGTCTTTAGGAAAAAAAAAATTGACTTTTCTTCAATACTGCAATAAATATCATACAAAGATATGAATGCCATGATGTAGAGCTACACAATATTTAGTAAAAATATAAAATCACAATATTGGCTTAATTATTATACTGGAGCAAAACAAATTTTACTCTAAGACATGCAAAAAAATTTGGTGCAGGCTTTTTAAGTTGTACTTTGGCCTTGTTTTGTTCGGCATTTAGATTTTGATACACTAGTTTCACTATATTAAGACATATTGTTTATGTTTATTGAAATGATCATGTTTTGTCAAAAGGTACATTTTAATATTGTAATAATATTGTTATTGCAGTACCAAACATATAATATTTTCTGAGGTACAGTGAGATTATAGTATTTTATTTAGAATAATGTTTGCTTCTGTTTTGGTAGCAGATAGAATATTGATATGAACTTTGAGCCATCTCCATCCAAAAGCCTGGAGTAGTCTCTCACTAGAATACCCAGTGAGCCTCCAGGGAAGAGGCTGGTAAAGATAGCACAGAGTAGGCTAAGCGAACATGGTTTCTTCAGCTCTCTCCAGCACAAAGGGCCTGATACTTGACTCTGTAATCTAATGCACAGTGCTAAGTTAGCAACCCAACAGGCAGAGGACGGGCCAAGGCTATCCGATCTCTCCAGTGATGTGCTCTCTGCAAAATGATGCTTACTGTGCTAGTCAGCGACTACTAAAGGGATATTTATCTGCTTTGAAAAATATGTGCCTAATATCTTGTCAGTAAAATATACAGTATTTGGGCTGAATTCGATTTTATATTTTTATTTTTTAAACTTTTGATTAGTATACATGTAAATTCTGCTAACTTTTTTCACTATGTGTTAGCAGTAGCAGGAATCAGATCTACAACCATTGGGTTACTTGAATGATGATGCACTAAAAGCAAGGCTTATACTAATATTATACTGTGACATTTGGATATTGTTACATTCTTGCTTTATTAAGATGTACTATGGCAGTTGTTCCTCAAAAGAGTCAGTCTTGAGAAATAAGAAAATGTATTACTTTTATAATGTTAGATTTGAAGGATTGAGAGCAGTAATTAACCCAAAAGATCCACAGAAAAAAAATAAATAAATAAAAACTCTGACAATGTTTTCTTGATGTGGATCGTAAGATGGATCTGTATAGTTCCTCCTTGGGTCTGGATGAAATATGAGCTCATAAGCTTTAGAACATTATTTACAATTTATATTAGTACATATTCCTTTTTATGTCTGTAGTTTAGATCATAAGGTTAACCTGGCAAAAGTCAGATTGATATTACAGTGCTAAAGGTTAGCCGTACAAGATGGATTCTTGTGAGTTTGAAAACACAAACCTCACGACAATTCAGCTGCAAGGAAAGGTTATAATACTGTAAGTGTTGTTGTGCTGTCTTTTGTCCAGTCTGGATGTAATAATCCAATTATATTACCATTATCATGATATTCACCACATGGATTTAAGAATTTGTAGAGCTGTTATAGGAATGTTTTTGTCATATTCCAAACTACCAAAGCATTTAATAAGAATTTTTATCATAGTAGCTGCAGTGAAACTGAACAAAGGACTATGGTCTATCTATATACTCTTGTTTACGTTTTTACATGCTGCAAAAGAACCATGCATTGAGGCATAGCAGCTTAAATTCAATATATTGCAACTGTGGATGAAAAGAAGACTTTATATGTTTTACCCAGTTATGAGATAAATACCAATTGACATGGTGTTTTTGTCTTTCAGGGGAGAGAGTGGCTGTGCTTGAACTGCCAGGTGAAGCGTGCCTCTGGAGGAGCCAAACCTGAGGTGAAAAAGACCCAAGCAACCCAACCAGCTCCACAGAAGACCTCCACACCTGCCTCACCCCAGACAAAACCACCACCGGCCAAGACTGAGGGGGCCAAGGCTCCTGACAAAGACAACCAGAAGAAACCCAGCCAACCTCCTGGAGCTAAACCAACCCAAGACGCTCCACCAAAACAAGCGGATCAGACTGCTCCGAAGGCAAGAACCACTCCTGCTCCACCTCAGCAAGAGACGGGAGGCTTCTTTGGGTTTGGCGGTCCAAAAAGTCAACCCGAGCCAGCCAAACCAGCAGAGTCGGTTACTGGGAAAATGTTCGGATTTGGCTCTTCCATTTTCAGCTCTGCCTCGACCTTGATAACCTCGGCGGTCCAAGATGAATCCAAAAGTACGCCCCCAGTTTCACCCAAAATGTCCAAAAGTGAGTCTAAACCCACTCCAGCCACCGCTGCCAAGAAACAAGAGCCAGAAAGGAAACCAGAGGAGGGGAAGGGTCAGCCAAAGGAGCAGACAAAGAATCCAACGGGAAAATCGGTCTGTCCGCTGTGTAAACTCCAGCTCAATGTTGGAACTAAAGACCCTCCTAACTACAACACCTGTACTGAGTGCAAGAGCATCGTGTGCAACCAGTGTGGCTTTAACCCAATGCCAAATGTCAAGGAGGTAAGAATACTGAGAAATGCACATAACATAACTTTTAATGTATAATATCTTCAAATTACGTACCACTCTCTTCACTTTAAAGCTAGTTAAAAAGTGTCAAATGTTCCATACACTACCAACTAGACAAGTAAAGCAATTTTGTTGTCTCCAGAGATAGCAGAGAATTTTTTTTTTCTTTTTTTTCCTTTTATAAGACTGGTCAGAATTTAAAACTATAGAGAACCCACGTGTGACGTCAAAGCTTTGCCCTGATCCACTTCCACTTCCATTAGACCACCATTGTAAAGTTAGCACATTTTTGAGTCGGTTCTTTAATTTTCACTTTAAGACACATGCCGGAAAAGTGTTGCACACAGAGCTGTAATCAGCAGAGAGATAAAGACACAGGGGTTCAGTTGTAGCGGATCCTGGTTGAAGCTGAAAGGCGAGACAAGTGGATCGCTGCCATCGGTGTGCGAAATACCCGTCAATATTCGGGGGTCCCCATCTCCGAATTGTTGAGCAATACAGACTCAAATATGAAAAAAGAAAAAGACACCACAGTGAACGCCTCTGACAGCCTAAACTGAATAGGCCCTATTCAATTGATTCAACTTATAAAGTGAACTGAATTTAGCCTAGTATGAGAAATGCTACAGTCGGGCTAGTGCTCCCATGTCTTCAGTGCTGTTAGCTGCTACTGTTACCCAAACTCAGTGCGTCTGCTCCAGGCTGACGTGCGGTGAGTTGCATACATCGTTCTATATGCTGCTGTTTTATAAGTTCATGGTGATAACTTGAGATGAGGATAGCCCGCGGTTTTAGTGGGGAACATACAGTAGATACCTTTCGCAGTTGGGGGAACATCAGGAACATTGGGCTGACCCTCTTCTGGGTCCGTATGGGATGGTTAATCAGGGGCATCCCCTGTATTTTGCACGCTGGCTGCCATAAATCGGGGAATTTATTACCCGACCACAGACAAGCCATGTTAATGCTAGCTACCGTCATCGGAACCGTCAATACGATGGCCAAAACAAAAAACAGTCATGTGACTGCAGATTCTCTATATAATAAATAATGCCATTATTCAAACAGAAGAGCCTGTTTTGTTTTATTTTATACTTGGCAAAATAAATGGTAATGCTAAAAATGGGTAATCTATTTGTTTCAAATTGCTTTTTTCCCCAATCAGGCACATTGTTACTTAGAATCATAGGAAACTAACTACCTACTAATGATTATCACAGTGGCAGAAATAACTAAAAGGTGCTCAAAGGGGCAAAACATGCTACTGACTCACAGTGTCAAATCTGGTACAAGGTCTTTAAATATAGACATTAAATTAGAATAGCTTGATTTGGGCATTGTTGTTTTCATACTTCTCTACTGCCAGTATTTTTAAGTGAAATGTCCAAAATGATAATTTGGTCCATAACCTGACTATTTAACAACTCACCTCTGAATAATAGCAATAATCATTTGACCATATCCGTGAAGTAGTGTAGGTCTATTGAATGTAATTTGAAAGTAGCAATCTCAGTAATCTTAAATATTCAGTTGTGCATGTCTGTGTAGGTTCCATACCTATTACTGACATATTTATAAATTTGAGTGAGAAGGCATTTTTATTCCAAATGCATTTTTGCTATTGACAAGTGGATTGCTATTGATGAATGTTTGAAAAAATGCCTCTACATGATTTTGCAATTGTGAGTTCAAAATTTGTCAAGGTCCAGTTCTAAGTATGAACCTTTTCTGTTCCTCTTTTTTACATTAAATCATCTGATTCTCAGTTCCACAATGATCCTTCAAATTATTATTTTTTCTTGCTAGGTAAAGGAGTGGTTATGCCTGAACTGTCAGATGCATCGAGCTCTAGGTGCATCAGAGCAACCAGCAATGCCAGCCAAGAAACCGCAGGCCTCCCCAAATAAGGCCCCCACTCCGGCTGGTGCAGTGAAGAAGGAACCATCTCCCCAGGTTCAGAAGAAAGACCAATCAAAACCCATAACCCAAGGTCCGGGCCCACCAGGATCCCCACAAAGAAAACCACAATCAGTAAAGCCTGACAATGTTAAAGAACTTGAAAAACAGGTCCAAGGTAGTCCAAACCCTACTCCAAAATCCCAAGAGATCAGCAAGCCCATGGAGTCTAAACCTAGCACTCTTCAAAGTAGTTCTGGTGGTCCAAAAGCTCCACCAGAACCTACGAAACCAGCTGAGTCAATAGGTGGGAAGATGTTCGGATTTGGTTCTTCGATATTTAGCTCTGCAAGTTCAATGATAACTTCAGCCGTCCAGGATGAATCTAAAACAACGCCTCCAGTATCTCCGAAAATACCTACTGCCAAGACAACAAAATCACCTCAGATTCCGCAAAAAGACGAGGAAAAGAAACCAGGTCAGGTTAATCAGCCAAATGCAACTTCACTGCCCCAAGCCAAAGTGGAAAAGGCTCCGTCTCAGCCAGGGAAACAAACTGCCCCCACAGCAATTAAAGCAGTGCAGTCCAACTGTCCACTCTGCAAAATACAGCTCAATGTGGGCTCCAAGGATCCTCCCAACTACAGCACGTGTACCCAGTGCAGAGAGACAGTGTGCAACCAGTGTGGGTTCAGTCCAGTGCCAAATATAACAGAGGTAATCAATGTGAAGGTAGAAGGTAGAGAGTATGAATGGTGCAAGTGACATGTTGGGGGAAAATGTTCTAGTGGATTTACATATTTGCTGGTGAATGTGGCTGCAAAATCAATTTTCAGAATCAATCAGAATTGCAACATTCAATGATTGCAATTAGCAAATTGCAGAAGTTGCAGCTATGCATGGAAATACCGTAGCACCGTACATGTAGTAATATAATACTGCTTCAAATTTCACTTAATGCTCCTTTATGTGTGTAAAATGTTCAATACAAACATTAAACCCCCTGCCCAAAATTAAAATTTGACTTTTTTACAAACTTGTTTAGCCATAATAGTAATGACTATTTTTGTTTATTGACTATTTCTGTATTACAGAAATGCCTTTATTAGAGAAATTTACTATAGAAGGGGTTAATAAGTTAAAATAAAACAACTGCTACTGACAAATGGCTTGCCAATGCCATAATGTTTACCCTTTTCTTTAATCTTACCAGATTGTCACTTGGACTATTCTGATAGTCACACCTTGACATATCAATCAAAAATTCTGCTTTTAATGTTTTAATTAATTTCTTGATGATTTCCTCTAGGTTAAGGAATGGTTATGCTTGAATTGTCAAATGCAAAGAGCTTCTGTTGAATCTGAAGGTAAAGGACCTACTATGAAATCTCCAAATTTGTCGAATAAAGCACCTGCACAACCCAAACCAACAGCTCCAAAACAGGCAGAAGCCAGTCCGGTTCCCATCAAGAAGATTCCAACTCCTGCAGAACTTCAGCCAAAATCAGACCACAAAGCTACAGAGAGCAAAACGCATGATCAAAAACCTCCTCTAAAGGCAGAACAACCCAAATCGGACCCTAAACAGACCCAGGTTGTTGCTGATAAACCAAAAGACACTCCTCCCAAAACAGTTCAAGAGTCTAAAACAACTGAATCTGTCTCTGGGAAGATGTTTGGATTTGGTTCGTCCATTTTCAGTTCAGCCTCCACTTTGATATCGTCAGCAGTTCAGGATGAATCTCGAACCACTCCGCCAGCCTCTCGGAAGATGTCTGCTCCAGCCGAAGCTTCCCCAAAGATGTCTCCTGGGCCTAAAGTCTCCCCAAAACAACCCACACCAACAGGTTCTCCCAAAAGAGAGCCTGCATCAGCTCATAAAGCAAAGGAGGAGCAGAAGAAAAGTGTCCTATCCCAGGATAAGAAAGAGGCTAAAGCTCCACCAAAAGCGCCAAAGACCACTGACTGTCCACTGTGCAAAACCAAGTTCAATGTTGGATCCAAGGATGCCCCCAATTACAACACATGTACTGGGTGTAAGGAGACAGTGTGCAATCAGTGTGGCTTCTGCCCCATGCCCATGGGAGAGGTAGGTCAAAATCGCTTTATGCACAGTTGCACAATTAGGGTCCGGTCAAGCGGTAACAGAGGGAAACAGGGGCAGATTTTTTACATTCAAATAGCTCTTATTCAGAAACTAGAGGGACTATTCAAATAAGTAAGGTATCAGAATGTAGCAAAGAGTTAACACTCCAACAAGTTAACCCTGCGATATTCTTTCAAGTTGTTGACAAAAAATAAAAAAACTCATGTCGGTAACGGAGGGAACGAATGCAGCACTTTTTGGGCAATAAATACAAACAGCAATAACTAGCGGTTCTCACTTACATATCCTTAACAAACTGGTTACTGACTATTTGCTTAATATAGTTTTCTACCATATGGTACAAGATTAGATTGAAAAACCTCTTACTTTTTGAGTAATTAGATTTTTTATTAAGCAATGGTAATGGAGGGAAAAGTAACAGAGGGAAAATTGTTCAAGCAAGTAGAAGGTGCATGATTTTGCATAATTTGTCAGCTTTTTTCTTCCGAATACTTTAAAATTACTTCAAAATGAAAGGTAACTATTTCTATAAAATATGTCAGTCCTTCCAAGCAAATTTTAATCATTTTAAATACTTTTTTTTTTTTTGAAAAATCATGTACCTTCATCAACAGTTCAAAGATCGAATAACACAAGATATGATGAAATACATCAATTTATTTACATGATTTGCAGGTCTTTGAAATTTGGGAAATAATTTTTGTTCCATGTTTCATACATGGTCTGTTTAAAACATATGTAACTTTAGAACCAAAAATGGTACAGAAAAAAGGTAAACAGTTTCATAAACTAGAGTACATATGCTATCTGTTGAATACATTTTTATATCAGATGCATTAACTTGAATTTTTGGCCTTGCGGTATACTTCTGCTTGACAGGGCTCATTAGCATTTATTTTTAGTAAAAACATCCACATTATTTTCAACCCTCAATGACAAATCTAAATGCTATTGCCATTTGCTAAATGTTAGTAGCTAGGAAAAACATTTGTTAAGTTAAATGTTTATTATATTCAATTTTTCTTTTTAGGCAAAGGAATGGCTATGCCTGAACTGTCAGGTGAAAAGAGCAGCTGCTGTACCAGAGCCTCCTCAAGTCATTAAATCTCCAAGTAAAGCTCCTGCTGCAGGACAGAAAACAGACTCTGCTCCTGAGAAGAAGGATACTACACAGCCTGTGCCAATAAAGAAGACCCAAGAACCTCAGCCACAAGACAAAGTCAGTGGACCTGCTGAAAAGAAGGAAGTTCTTGACCAAAAAGCCGCACAGCCCAAACCCCAGAAAACTCCAGATCAGGGAACACAGTCTCCTCGAAGGCAGAGCAAGGAGCAGGAGTCTGGAGGCTTCTTTGGGTTTGGTGCTCCTAAAGCTCACCCTGAATCTGGAAAGCCAGAGGAGTCAGTTGGAGGAAAAATGTTTGGGTTTGGTTCTTCCATCTTCAGTTCTGCATCCACTTTAATAACGTCAGCAACTTCCACACCACCTGTCTCTCCTAAGTTGTCTCCTAAACCATCTCCTGCAAAGGAAGCCAAGTCTCCTGTTTCACAAAAAACAGAGGAGCAGAAGAAAGAAGAGGCTAAAACCACCCCAGCTGAACAGACTAAACTGGACAAAGGTACACCACAGCCAACAAAGCCAGAAGCAGTATCAGCAGCCCCAGCCGTCAAACCAGGACAATCCACCTGTCCATTGTGTAAGGTGCAGCTCAACATGAACACCAAAGAGCCACCCAACTACAGCAACTGCACTGAGTGCAAGAGCACTGTGTGCAACCAGTGTGGCTTCAACCCTTCACCTAATGACCTAACTGGACAGGTATGTCAAATTTGCTATGTGCTTTCTTACACAATTAGAATACACATTAATGTGCCATTTACCGATTTAAACCATTCACTTCGCTATTTCTAAGATCAGGTAATCCCCCCATGAATCTGAATGTTGCCAGTTTGATCCCCAAGGCCTATGGTACAGCACACTGTCAATGTAAATGTATGAATATGCGATTTTGAAAACTGTCACTTGGGGCAAGCATAGGCACAAAATCTGAGCAACATTTCAATCAGACTGCCCCAAGGGCAACTATGGGCACAGTAAAAGCAGGCTACTGATGTTTAATTTGACTGAATTATATACAGTATATATGACCAATGCATTAATGCCATTATTCTTTTCTCTCTCTCTTTTTTCTCCCCCCTTTTCTTTATGTCAAGGAATGGCTTTGCCTGAACTGTCAAGTGAAAAGAGCAGCTGCTGTACCAGAACCTCGGGCTCCTCAACTCATCAAGTCACCAAGCAAAGCTCCTGCTGCAGAACAGAAGACAGACTCTGCTCCTGAGAAGAAGGATACTACACAGCCTGTGCCACTAAAGAAGATCCCAGAACCTCAGCCACAAGGCAAAGTCAGTGGACCTGCTGAAAAGAAGGAAGTTTTGGACCAGAAAGTGGCACAGCCCAAACCCCAGAAAACTCCAGATCAGGGAACACAGTCTCCTCGAAGGCAGAGCAAGGAGCAGGAGTCTGGAGGCTTCTTTGGGTTTGGTGCTCCTAAAGCTCACCCTGAATCTGGAAAGCCAGAGGAGTCAGTTGGAGGAAAAATGTTTGGGTTTGGTTCTTCTATCTTCAGTTCTGCATCCACTTTAATAACTTCGGCGACTTCCACTCCACCTGTTTCTCCTAAGCTGTCTCCTAAACCATCTCCTGCAAAGGAAGCCAAGTCTCCTGTTTCACAAAAACCAGAGGAGCAGAAGAAAGCAGAGGCTAAAACTATCCCAGGTGGACAGACTAAAGTGGACAAGGGTGCACCACAGCCAACCAAGATAGAAGCAGTATCAGCAGCCCCAGCCGTCAAACCAGGACAATCCACCTGTCCATTGTGTAAGATTCAGCTCAACATGAACACCAAAGAGCCACCCAACTACAGCAACTGCACTGAGTGCAAGAGCACTGTGTGCAACCAGTGTGGCTTCAACCCTTCACCTAATGACCTAACTGGACAGGTATGTCAGATTTGCTGTATGCTTTCTTACATAATCAACACATGAATTATTGTGTTTTAACCACTATAAGTCATCCATTTTGCTGTCCCTCCGATCTGCTATTTTGCAAACATTTCTTCACTCTCTAAACAATTAAGATAGTATTTGCATTTATGTGGCAGCCATAGTTCACTTAGTTGTAACTTTGACTTGCTAAACTAAAGATTTTCAGTTTGATCCACTCGATAGGTGAGACATGCTGTCATTACCTTTGTATAAATGTGTGTGTTTCCGATCTATGCTTTAAGAGACTGTATTTGCAGAATGGTATCCACATTTCCAACAGACTGCCCCAGGGCATCCAGACAGACAGTAGTGGTGTGCTACTGCTCACTGAATGATATCTAATATATAAGCAATACATTCATTGTATTTATTTTGATGCTTTTTTCCCCTTCAAAATCTGAATTACTTTGTTTGCAGGATGACGGTAGATTAAGACAGAGTTTTAAGAATGTAATACTTATTGTATATTTTTGTTTTCTATTAGGCAAAGGAATGGCTTTGTCTGAACTGTCAGGTGAAAAGAGCAGCTGCTGTACCAGAGCCTCGGGCTCCTCAACTCATCAAGTCACCAAGTAAAGCCCCTGCTTCAGAACAGAAGACAGACTCTGCTCCTGAGAAGAAGGACACCGCACAGCCTGTGCCACTAAAGAAGATCCCAGAACCTCAGCCACAAGACAAAATCAGTGGACCTGCTGAAAAGAAGGAAGTTCTGGACCAAAAAGTTGCACAGCCCAAACCCCAGAAAACTCCAGATCAGGGAACACAGTCTCCTCGAAGGCAGAGCAAGGAGCAGGAGTCTGGAGGCTTCTTTGGGTTTGGTGCTCCTAAAGCTCACCCTGAATCTGGAAAGCCAGAGGAGTCAGTTGGAGGGAAAATGTTTGGGTTTGGTTCTTCTATCTTCAGTTCTGCATCCACTTTAATAACTTCGGCAACTTCCACTCCACCTGTTTCTCCTAAGCTGTCTCCTAAACCATCTCCTGCAAAGGAAGCCAAGTCTCCTGTTTCACAAAAACCAGAGGAGCAGAAGAAAGAAGAAACTAAAATCATCCCAACCGGACAGACTAAAATGGAAAAAGGTACACCACAGCCAACAAAGACAGAAGCAGTATCAGCAGCCCCAGCCGTCAAACCAGGACAATCCACCTGTCCATTGTGTAAAGTGCAGCTCAACATGAACACCAAAGAGCCACCCAACTACAGCAACTGCACTGAGTGCAAGAGCACTGTGTGCAACCAGTGTGGCTTCAACCCTTCACCTAATGACCTAACTGGACAGGTATGTCAAAATAGCTCAAATTAGCATAATGCTTGAATCAGATTAATTCTCCATTGTATGATAAACACAAAGATGTAATATGTTGGTTACTGTTATTAAGTGTCCACTTTACTGTCTCATGACATCAGTTTATTTGCACAAGAATATTACAATAAGAAATCAAGAATATTTGTGGCAAAATAATCTGCAGCTGCAAGTAACTCACCCACAAACCCAAAGTTTGGCAGTTTGACTCCTGTGACCAGAATTGAATATTGTCATTGCTTCTGTATGAACGTATGTGTTTGTGGATGGTGGTACCTGAAGAGTCTATAAGCAAAAAGCTGAAGCCACATGTATGTCAAAATTCTCCTGGGCAACTGCAGAAATAAAAACAGTTTACTACTGCTGAGTAATAGGAACTATATAGAGTATAGTATAATAAACAAACTCATTGCTACGTTTCCTTGTATTTCTTTTTTTTTTTTTTTTTTCAAGCAAACAGGTTGATAGCAAATAGAGCCAGAGTTTTTAGAATTTAATACTTATTATATTTTCTTCAGGTCAAGGAATGGCTTTGCCTGAACTGTCAAGTGAAACAGAGAGCAGCTGCTGTACCAGAACCTCGGGCTCCTCAAGTCATCAAGTCACCAAGCAAAGCTCCTGCTGCAGGACAGAAGACAGACTCTGCTCCTGAAAAGAAGGATACTACACAGCCTGTGCCACTAAAGAAGACCCCAGAACCCGAGCTGAAAGGCAAAGTCAGTGGACCTGCTGAAAAGAAGGAAGTTTTGGACCAGAAAGTGGCACAGCCCAAACCCCAGAAAACTCCAGATCAGGGAACACAGTCTCCTCGAAGGCAGAGCAAGGAGCAGGAGTCTGGAGGCTTCTTTGGGTTTGGTGCTCCTAAAGCTCACCCTGAATCTGGAAAGCCAGAGGAGTCAGTTGGAGGGAAAATGTTTGGGTTTGGTTCTTCTATCTTCAGTTCTGCATCCACTTTAATAACTTCGGCAACTTCCACTCCACCTGTTTCTCCTAAGTTGTCTCCTAAACCATCTCCTGCAAAGGAAGCCAAGTCTCCTGTTTCACAAAAACCAGAGGAGCAGAAGAAAGCAGAGGCTAAAACTATCCCAGCTGGACAGACTAAAGTGGACAAGGGTGCACCACAGCCAACCAAGATAGAAGCAGTATCAGCAGCCCCAGCCCTCAAACCAGGACAATCCACCTGTCCATTGTGTAAGATTCAGCTCAACATGAACACCAAAGAGCCACCCAACTACAGCAACTGCACTGAGTGCAAGAGCACTGTGTGCAACCAGTGTGGCTTCAACCCTTCACCTAATGACCTAACGGTAAGAGTGTTTACTTATCATCACAATATAGCACCTCCAGTAATATTAATTTAACCCTTTTTTTTGTTTTCAATTTTCAGGGTAAGGAGTGGTTGTGTCTTAATTGTCAGACAAAAAGAGCTCTTTCTATGGCTGAGACTCCAAATAAATTACCTGAAAAAACCCAGAAGAAAGAGCTCCCAAAAGCGGATGCCAATCAGAAGAAACCTTTACCCATAGAAGAAAAAGACAAAATAGATACTACAAAGGCTAAACAAGAGGGGCCTGTCCCTGCTCCACCAAAGTCACAGGAGCCAGTGAAAACGCCTGATCAAACAAGAAGACCAAGTAATGCATCTGTCAAGAGCCAGCCAGACTCCAGCGGATTCTTTGGTTTAGGTGGGAAAGCCCAGCCAGAGTCTACAAAACCGGCCGAGTCTGTGTCAGGGAAAATGTTTGGCTTTGGCTCCTCTCTCTTCAGCTCTGCTTCCACTTTAATCTCGTCAGCAGTTCAGGACCAGCCTTTGACAACACCACCAGCTTCTCCAAAGTTGTCTATAGCTAAAGATGTCAAAGCTCCAGCCACACAGAAAGTTGAACCAGAGAAGAAATCAGAACAGCCACAACAAACCAAAACTCCTCCAGTACCCCAGGCAAAAGCAGAGAAGGCTTCACCGTTACCTCCAAAGAAAACTGTCTCTCAAGAAGCAGTTAAGTTAGGTGAAGCTACTTGTCCTCTCTGTAAGGCTCAATTGAACATCGGCTCCAAGGAGGCACCAAACTACAATTCCTGCACTGAATGCAAGAATAATGTATGCAACCAGTGTGGATTTAGCCCCATGCCAAGTGGGTCAGAGGTAAGTTGTTATTATTAGTTACTAATGTTTGTGAGATTTTATGTTTTGCTGTGACTGCATTAATGTTGTCCTTGGAGATATATTATAAAGTTATGTTCATGTGTTAGTCTGATTACTTGTTTGTGCACCAACTTTTGTAATCTAACTCCATATAAGAGTACAAACCAGACAAAATTTACAAACCAAATGATAAACCAGGTTCAGAACCAATTTTTGCCTCTGGCCTCATAGCATAACTGCATTTTTGGCCAAATTTTGTTTGCTGTGCCATTCTACTCTCTAGACCCTGTTGCATTTGTGGTTTCCAATCATGACCAAACAGAAATGAGTTTAAAAATTAAAAAAATACAGTGTATTTTCCCTAAAAGCTTTAAAAAATAACTCTGGCAATTGTGTTAGGAGGCTAGCAAACAGTTATATGTTGTGTACAGACTCAAATCTTGATATATTGCTATTTTTACAGACAAAGGAATGGTTATGTCTGACCTGCCAGATGCAAAGAGCCCTGAAACAATCAGAGGAAGTTCAGCCTCCAGTGAAGAAACCTCTGGCATCTCCAAACAAAGCAGTTGCCCCTGCTGTTGCTTCCCCTGTTACTCAAAAAGTAGAAGTGTCTGAGAAAATAGAGAAAGACACTGCACAACATAAGCCAGAAGAAACGAAGCTGCCGTCTAAAGTAACAACAGTCACTCCTACTTCAGTGAATACAAAAGAGGTTCCAACAACTAAAGACACCAAAGTTGGAGTTCTACCTAAAGCTCCAGTGGACAAGGCAGGGGTTGAAGAGAAAGCTCAACCTGATACTTCTGCACCTGCGAAAGTACCAGAAACTAAAGAGCTTAAAAAGGAGGAACAACCATCTAAGCCGGCAGAGAAGAAACAACCCCAGCCAGACACAAAGAAAGATGTAAAGACAGAAGAAAGTGCAACTAAAGAAGATTCAGGAGGTTTCTTTGGCTTTGGTAGCCCTAAATCTCAGCGTTCTGCCTCAATAATACCTGAACCAGTGTCCGGGAAGGTGCTAGGTTTTGGGTCATCCCTCTTTAGTTCAGCTTCTACTTTGATATCTTCTGCAGTAAAGGATGAATCCCGCAGTACCCCGCCAACTTCAAGAAAAATGTCTGCCCCTCCTCAGGTTTCTGACAAGACTCCACCTTCAAAAGAGTCTCCGAAGCCGAGTCCTCCAGTTTCTCCAAAAGTTGCTCCTGCAAAAGATGCCAAATCAGTTACCCCTCCAAAGGCAGCAGAAAAAGCAGAAGATAAACCTCAAAAAGTTCTTGAAAAGGAGGGCAAAGATGCCCCCAAACCAGAATCTCCCAAACCTGTTTCAAAAGTGGAGCTCACTTCCTGCCCACTCTGTAAGGTGGAAATCAACTTGTCTTCTAAAGATGGCCGCAATTACAATACATGCACTGAATGCAAAAATATGGTGTGCAACAAATGTGGATTCAGCCCAATGCCAACTGTATCAGAGGTAATTAAACAAAAATGTAATTTAATAATAGTTTTAATTATATATCTTCAATGTCTTTCTATTTTTGTCTCTTTCTAGGTAAAAGAATGGCTTTGTCTTAACTGTCAGATGCAGAGAGCACTTGGGGCATCTGAACCTCCTGGTCTCCCAATGATGAAACCTTCACCCAAAAAGGAGATCATCCCAACACCTCCAATCAAGGAAATTGCTGAGTCAGTCACAGATAAAAATAAGGCTGCTGATGAAGTTGAAGAAAAGAAATTGCCTTTGGAAGTTACGAAAAAAGCCCCAGAAAAGGCTCTCAAACCTCAACTACAGAAGGCTCCATCAATCACTAAACCAGTAGTTGATAGCTTACCCACACAGAAGCCTGCACCTAGTATTCCAACTCCTCCACCTGATCAAGTTGAGGTCAAACAATCAGCAGAGTCAAAAGAGGTAAAGAAAGAGAAACCTGTCCCATCTACAGTTTCACCGACTCCTCCAAAAGACCTTGCTAAGGAAAAACTACCACCCGAACAACCAACCACAACGGTTCCTCCAGCTATTCCTGTAGAAGCAAAGGCACCAATCCAACAACCTTCTAAACCAACACCAACTGAAGCCTCCCCAGCAGCTCCTAAAGGGCCCGAAGTGGTCAGGCCTTCATCAGAAGAGCCTCCAAAACCTTCAGCCAAGCCTGCTACTCCACCCATAGAAACAAAGGTCACCACAGAACATCCCCCAAAGCCTACACCGACTATGGACAAACCAGTTCTGTCAGAGCCATCTCCCAAACCTGAAGTGAAATCTGTTGCTCCACCAGCTTCTACAGAAGTAAAAGCACCTCCTCAGCAACCTACAAAACAAGAACCATCTTCACCCAAACCTTCTCCCAAAGCTCCAGTAGAAACCAAGGGACCCACAGCCCAAGCAGCAAAGCCTCCAATGGCTGCCACTGCCAAACCTGTGCAACCATCAGTGCAGCCCTCAAAACAAGAACCCTCTTCACCTAAACCTTCTCCCAAGGCTCCAGTAGAAACCAAGGGACCCACAGCCCAAGCAGCAAAGCCTCCAACTGCTGCCACTGCCAAACCTGCACAACCACCAGCGCAGCCTGCAAAACAAGAGTCTGGTGGTTTCTTTGGTTTTGGTGGTTCCAAGCCTCAGCCTGCAGCTCAGAAACCAGCAGAGTCAGTTACAGGGAAAATGTTTGGCTTTGGATCGTCTTTCTTGAGTTCAGCATCAAACTTAATATCTACGGCAGTTCAAGATGAGACTAAAACACCACCGACACCTCGCAAAATGTCAGCAGCCCAAGTCTCTCCTAAAGCAACTCCCCCAGTCTCACCAAAAACTGTTCAGAAAGCTGATGAGAAGAAACCACAAGAGAAGGTACCAGTGACCCCAGGCAAAACGGATAAAGTCTCACCAGAGCCTACCAAAGCAGTGGCTGTTTCTAAAGTACCTGCAAAGACAGAGACGTCCTCCTGTCCCTTGTGTAAAGTGGAACTCAATGTGGGCTCTAAGGACACTCCAAACTACAACACGTGCACTGAATGCAAGAAAACAGTCTGCAACCAGTGTGGATTTAATCCCATGCCAAATGTGACAGAGGTATATATATTATTTACCTATTACTTATTAGTACACCATAGACATCAGTTGGTTTTTGTAACAACTATTTCTGACACAATAGTCTACTTTACAGTTGAGATCACAACCTTAGATAAATAAACCAGTGGCAAGCTTTCTACATTTAAACACTGTAAAATCAGACATTGTGAATGAAAAGACAAGTTGCATAATTCTGTGGAAGAAAGGTGGATCTTTTGTCAGAGGAGAACATAGCAGCTTTGTTTGTTTGTTTGTTCGTTTTTTTGTCTAAGGGGCTATCCCATAAAGCTTTGCAATGTGACGTCTATTTTTAGCAAACTAAAAAGTACTCTTATGTTTTCACTTGTCAATAACATCTATTCTTTTTTTTTTTTTTTTTCCCCACTGGGATATTTATGCAAGAGATAAAGCAGAATTTGAGTATTCTCTCTTGCCAACAGCATACCAGTGCTAAAAACAAAACAAAAATTAAAAACACTTTATAATGAGATGTAGACAGTATATAGTATCTGATTTTGTCTTTCCAAATCACAGTGCAGTTCACAGTATATTATGAAATAATGTGACAAATAATGTAGTTCATCAGAGAACAGCTACCTGAAAAGAGGTATTTGACTGATAAACCATTTTGTTAGCTTCTTACTGCACTGCTATTACAATCAATGTGCTGACGTTACAGAAACAATATTATGTGTCTTTTTTATTTTCTTGCATTTGTTTTTACAGGTAAAGGAATGGCTGTGCTTGGACTGCCAGATGAAACGGGCTATTGGACCATCAGAAGCCACTGGACTCCCTGCCATGAAACCACTGGCACCAAGCAAAGAGCAGAAGGACAAAGCTGTTGCCCAAAAAGACAAGCCTTCGGAACCTCAAGTGAAGAAGGAGACCGTTTCGCCAACTCTACCAAAGAAGGAGGCACCCAAGGTCGAGCCGTTGGTGCCAGCAACGGTCCCAGAAGCTGCCCCTGCCCGAAAAGGCTCTTTACCAAAAACCCAGCAAATTCCAACAACTCAACCGGCACCACCAGCGAAAGATGCTCTCCAAAAGCAGCCACCAGGTGCAAAACCAGTCCAACCAACCCCTCCTACAAAGGCAGAGGTCAAAGAAGCACCTCCAAAGCAGGACACAACCAAACCCACATCGGAACCTTCAAAACCCGCTCCGCACCCAGCAAAGGCTGCACCTCCACCTCAGGCTCCCAAGCAAGAATCTGGTGGGTTCTTTGGATTTGGCGGTCCCAAAACACAGCCAACCCCAGCTAAGACGGAAACAGTCACTGGCAAGATGTTCGGTTTTGGGTCATCATTCCTTAGCTCTGCATCAACCCTTATCAACTCGGCTGTCCAGGATGAAGCTAAAACAACTCCACCGGTGTCTCCGAAAATGGCCCCAGCGAAACCCAAGCCTGAGCAACCACCGCAGGCAAAAGTTACGCCCCCGGTGGAGAAGAAAGTGGACAAAGTTCCAGTAGAGCCTGCGAAAGACAAAGTGGTTACGACAAAAGTAGCACCATCAACCTGCCCACTCTGTAAGGTTGAGCTTAACATTGGCTCCAAGGATTCGCCTAATTATAACACATGTACAGAATGCAAGAACACCGTCTGCAACCTCTGTGGATTTAACCCGATGCCTCATACAGCAGTGGTGAGTACAGTTTAATTATGTGTTCCATGTTTTAATTAACTATAAATCATTATGGTAAGGTCAGGGCTTAGAAAAATGGTTCGTAAAGGGTTCATGTGTGTTTTCAACTTGTCATCGTAGAAAGGATTTAAGTGAGAAAAAGAATTGTTGATTGATGGTTTCTTTTGTCAGTTAAGTAATTTGCATAAGAATGATACATCTCCCGAGGCAATATTTGTACTGTTTGTATTTGCAAATGCATAAATGGGATGCTTTAGAGCTGCATGGTATAAGAATAATGGTGATTCCAATACCTAAGTTGAATGTTGCAATACATATTTTTGTGATTTTAACACTAGTAAGTTTGATTAAATAATAAAACAAATAATTAATCCTTAAATAACCAAAATTTACAAATTATTTATACACAGAGTAATTCAAAGTGCTTTTCAGAATAAGAAACACTTTAACAGCACAATACAAACAAATCAAAACATAAATAATCATCATAAAAACATTAAAACAGATTCCATGGAAATACATATATAAAAATGTATTATAACTTGCACTTGATTATTCAGTGTTTCTGTTGTTTAAATCAGCAATCAAAGTACTGTGAGGCCACTGCTTTTGTCATTTTGGGCTATAAAAAATATAATAATAATAATAATAATAATAATAATAATAATAGTAATAGTAATAGTAATAATAATAATAATAATAATAATAATAACAATAATTGAATCCTCCAAATCTAACGCTTCAGAATTGATTGGACAGGAGACACTATTATATAATTATCACTTATTTACTTCTTTGCTATTTTTCCATGTATTTGTAGGCCTGTCATGATAACAAATTTTGAAGTGTGATATATTGCACTATTAAGTAAATATATACAATTAATGATAATACTGAAACCAAACTACAAAGCAAAATTATCTCAAAAAGCATTCTAATTGTACCATTTTGTAAAAGAAAAATAAATAAATAAATCATAATGCAGAAAAAAATTACCAAAAATTACCACTAGTGCAAAGAAAAAAAAAATACCCATATTGACTGTCAAAAATGATTGTAATATATTGAAAGATAAGTCGATATGGTATTTAGCATGGCTGGCCTATATATTTGAGCAATCTTTATCTTTTTCAAATACAAATATACTGTATAAGCAGCTCTTGAGGTCAAAACATGTCTGCGGCATCTAGTTACAAATAACTATGGACCACAGCAAAAGTACAGGTACAGCTCCTTTTAAAACCAACAGCTCTGGTTCACTATCTTGTATATTATCAGAAGCATTGTTGAATACGTCATGCCTGAATGTTGTGACTAGCCCTCCTGCTCTGAGCACTTGGCCTTGTTATGTAACCGCGCGTGAGCCTCGCTTCCCCGTGCACAGCAGCCCTCTGTATTAAAAGTGATTGAGGGTTGTGCAACCGCATTAGCTGATGGGATCTGCTGCTGCTGTCAGAGTGTAGTGGTGACAAGGGAATCTCCAGCCCCCGTGCATGTAGTGAGACGCCATAGCCCCCATGATATGCCAATAGGACGAGTTCACGTTCTCAGATTTGATGATGTCATAATTTCAGATGGTGGGCAAGGGCCACTCTATGAGATAATTCTATGGGAGAGTTACTGTTTTTGAAGGAAATATACAAAATGGGAATTCACAAATGAATCTCATAAATATTTGTTTGCTTGTGGATTGGGTCCACAAATATGCCATATTAATCCATGGTTTATAGTCTTTTTAACTGAAAACAATCACGCCTTTCTGAGGGTAGTTAGATTATTATTATAGATTATTTCACTCTAGTTTTATACAGGGAATACATTGAACTCTGTGCTAGTTTTTGTTTCATGTGGATAGACCCATTCATTTTAAACAATAGGGATACTAGAATGTTGTGACGTCACGTGACCCCAACCTAAAGAGCTGGAGGACAGGTCACGGTCCTATTGTGGAATTTGCTGTTTCACTGTCTGTTTGCTGATTTGTTGAGCTGGTTTATGGTCAAATATCTCTCTAATTACTGAGTCTATTCACATGAAACAAAAACGTTCAAAGTCTTCTCTGTCAGTATAAATAAATCATGGTTTATCTATCTTTTCACTATAGCTTCAGAAAGTGGTGCCATTATTCAACCCCGAAGACATGATTGTCTGCAGCTGACAGGACTTTCAAACATAAAATTAATATGACAACTTTCTGGAACCAATCCCAAATAATTAATGTTGAGGTTCAGCATTTGTGGATCATAATTTTGGGTAGTTCTTCAGAAAATAGTCATTATCCAAGTTACACAGACCCCATGTCCTCCATCTGAAATTTAGTAGAGATAGATCAAAATATCAGGCCAATATTTGCACTCTTAATGAAAGGGCTTTTGGCCTTAACTCTCCAGCAGAGGCAGATATTTAGCAGCCTAAATATGTTTGAAAAATGCTTTATTTGAACACTTTAGTCTAAAGAGGGTACTGCAAAAATGTGACTACACTGCTCTCTACACAGTTTGTACTAAAACATGGTTATCGATGAGTTCATACTAATTCTAAGTACACAATTTGTGGAAAACTACAAAATTTAGCCCTACATTTTAACATAAAAATATCAGCAGAATTTATCAGCCCTTGCTTCCTCTAGATTCTTAACAATCGTCATCAGCATTGGCCATGAACAAAAACGCATATCCGTCGATCTCTAAAATTTAGACATCATAAAATTCTAGGCATAAATATTAAACATAAACCAGGTCAATATATCTGCAGTCTGACAGTTAGACATCAAATTCCACCACAGCTTTCTGACCAGTCCTGCTTTTCCAATTCTAAAGCATTCTAGAATATTGTTATTTCTCCGAACCCAGCCAATAAGCAAGCATAAGAGGTGAAGTGGATGTAGCCAGTCACAACATCACAGTACATTATCAGTAGACATTTCCTTTGAGGCCATCTGCTCTTTCACAGATCAGTGGCGCCGGGCAATTTAGCAGTCTCACATTTATTATACGCGGGAGGTAGCAGCACTCCTACCAACAGCACATTTGTTCACTCTCCATTCTCTCTGAAATGCCATAGTTTAGTTGGCCATGAAATAACCCGACCTGTGTGCAAAATCAATAGTTCGCGTGGGGGTCTGTGTGCCTTATCTTTATTGCTGCAGGGTATTTTCCGCTTTGCAAGATATATGAATATGTTTGGAATGAGATTTTTTTTTGTTTTATTTATATTTAGAGATCAACTGATATGGGTTTCTTTCATGGCCGATATTGACTGTTTAAAACACAGAGTGACCTACGGACGATAAACTCTGTTTAAATATTTTTTGACTGATATGTAAGGTCGATTTAGATTATTTCCCCCAAATTATATCATTTAAATTTACTACAAACTCACCCACAGCCCTTTTTGACCACAAACCTTTAAGAGCTGTGTAATCTCATTTAGTGCAGCTATCTCTTTATTTTTTATCTTTATATTATAAATAGGGATGAACCGATGCTGATACTGCGCGAATACTGTAATACTGACTGGATCGGGTATCATTTCTATGATATGAGTTCAGTTGATATCCTGGTTGGACCTTTACTTGGATGTAGTAAAAAATATCTAATAATGTCTGAACTTTTATTCATACAAAACTGCTCACTAGTGATTTAAAGTATAAACAGCATAGAACAATTGGATCTCAAGTGTAGTAATTTAACAGTGTTTTAAAGAAATATTTCATCATTTTCCGTCCCTGCACTGATATCGGTTAATATCGTATATTGGCAGATAAAAGTATTCAATTAAAGTATTGATATTGGTATTGGAACAGAAAGACCTGGATTGGTGCATCCATAATTATAATTCTTAATATAAAGCTTTGTGTATTTTCTTTGGCAGCAAATTGACCAAAACAAAATATTGGCCTATGCTGAAGATTTAAGGCCAATAAGCCCAAATATTGACCCAGTATATTGGCCAAGAGATATATTGGTCTATCTCTATTTGTATCCTGCAACTGCTTAATAGTTATTGCTGTTTTCAGATGTTATCATAACATTCTACAGGGCTGTTGTGTTTCAGGTTGTAATGGAGGTAGGGCTGTGCTATTAGTCACATTTTAATCAAATCTAGATTGCTTTGTATTGTCAATGATCGGTCAATATGTTGTCAGGAAAAGCAATACATGGAGGAATACACTGGATTATTGATCTGTGGTGAATGGTACTGATTAAAAATCTGGTTTGTTTATGGTTAAGGTACACTTTACTGTCCCAGAGGGAAACTTGCTCTCTGTATTTGACCCGTCCTTCAGTGTTGCTGGGAAAACCTGTCAGGAGCAGTTGGCCCTGTCAGGGACCCACCTCCATGATTTTGTTGGTAGGCTAATGTTGACACATTAAGATAACAAGGCTGGGTAATTTATTATTATTATTATTTTCAGTTGGGGGTCCGTCTGCTGCTTGTTTCTATGGAGATGTCATTGCTATGCTTGGAATGTTCCACAGTATGACATTAAACAGCTCTTCTTTACATTTAGTTGATTCCAGGTGTTTTTTATATATAAAAGTGATTCACAAGATCTGACCTGTAACATTACCTGGTTTGGTCTCCATGAAGCTGGAAAGTTTTGTCATACTGTGAAACATTCCAGACAACATTCCACTGGATTAGTTTATTCTCTATTCACTCTTGATTTAGACCCTGTTTACACTGAAATGAATCTGCGTATCACTGTATCACCATATCACCATATCGGACACAATCTGCATCCACACACGTCGTTTCTGTGTCTTCATTATCTACACAGCTTTGAGCATATGTGTTTACATTTTACAGAAACTAAACTTAAAACCGCATGGCTAATTTACATAAACTGAGCGCTCAAAAAACAGCTCACTATTGTGCGCTGCTGCGGTTTAGCTTCTGTCGGACTAAAGGACACGACTCAGTGCATTATATGTGTTCATTCTGTGACAGAGAGTTGTTCTGCTGATGGTGAGTCTGTTCTGTGCTTCTATCGCTTT